CTCATGCATGAGTGTTTCCACTCTTACTACGTTATTCACATTTATCTGGGGACTTCGGAGGTCCTGATGCCTTAATCCATGAATCTTTCATGGATATATTGCAGGGGAGGAAAGAGGAGGCTGAATCCCTGGAGCTCTGTGTTCCTGCCTCTCCAACAAACAGCAGATAAGCACAAGTTTTTCTAACCACAAGAACACGGGATCTGTGGGAGTCATGGGAAAATATGTGTAGACAATGAAGCTTTGTGGGATTTATGGCTTTGCCTTACCTCTCGTATTTTTTACCTTCGCCTACATGTATGAAATGCATGTGCTGTAGCTGTGATTTGGGGAAGGCACCTTTTCAGGGCACAGCACAGGTCACCAGAGAGACACAGAAACACCTACTAGGTGCCACACACTCAAATACACATATTTTGTGAGCTGACTTGCTAATCTTCATGCAGAAGTTGTGTGGGAAGAATAATAATCTTCCAAAAGGTAATGAGGAAGCTGAGGTTGGGGGGAAGTAAGTAAATTGTCCCAGCCGCCAAAAGGCGAGGTCTGACTTGGCAGCCGGGTGGGCCTGACTCCGGAGCCCTCCTGCGTGCCCGACATTGTGCTTTCCCCCCATCACGGCTGCCTCATGGAATTGCCCCTTTCTCATACCTTTTATTCAAGAAAAACTCCTTTTGAAACTCTTTTGATTCAAGAAAAAAAATGATTGGAAGGAAAAAAGACAGGAGGGGAGGCATGGAGGAAGGAACAGAGGGAAGAATGGAAACCCACTGCCCTAAATGTGCAGAGAGGCTCTCTGGGTTGGCACAGACTCGGGGGCTGCTTTGGTGCTTAGCCGATTCCTCTCTGCTGAACCCCTAAGGAACTTCTGGGAGGTTCCCAAGAGGCTAGTCTGGAAACCAAGAAAGTAGGGTAATCTTGAGGATGAGAACCACGCACTACGAACTAGAGGCCTGTGAGCTCGGGGTGCAGCGTGGGTGGAGCTGAGCTCGCATTAAATATAGAAAGGACGCAATACCACTCATTTTCATGTTTTCCCAAAGTCTCAGGCAGCCCGAAGGAGAGCGCCCTGGTAAATACGGCCTTTGAAGGAATTCCACTTGGCGTAGAAATGGCAGGTGCTGGTAACCCACCACTGGCAGCATTGCTGGGATGATCTGGGGGGCCTGCACCCCTCAGGCAGCAGCTGCCCTGGATCCTGAGGGTGTTACGGATCTTTCTGAACCAGTAGCTTAGTTGCACACTCCGTGGCCGTGCACTGAGTAGACCTGGGGAGGGCCTTTGGAGTGGGGGTAGGGAAGAGGTGCCGAGAGGGCCTCACACCCAAATAAATCTCTTTCTCCCTCTGATGTGTGAGTCCAAAATCAGTTATTCACGCCTTTGAATATATGTGAATATATATATTTCTCTTTTCCTGGTAGCCTGTTGAACATTTCCTAGGAAGGGGGATATATTAAGCCCTTAAAACCTTAAAGTGAAAGGATTAATCATATTGATTTTCTCCATTATAACAGAGAAAGGTGTGTCATGAGTACAGGAGCCTTATTCCTTTAGATTAGAAGAAGCCTAGAAGATGCTCATCTAAATCAATCAAATCCTCCCCATTTTATCGAAGGAGAAATTGAAAACAAGAACATGGACAGGAGAACATAGAAGTGGTTAGCCTGAGAAGAGGAAAAATATCATATATTTTAAACTTTTACAGAGAAATGTTGGCTCTACTTTCAGCTCCATAGAGAGAATGGATAGTCTATCGATTCATCACTTCACCCCCACTGACACCGCAGTCCAAGCCACGGTCACTTCTCCCCTGACTTTCTGACTTAGCAGGCAGGATGATTCTCTTAAAATCTCAGTCAGATGGTGACATTTCTTTACTCAAAAAGTTCTAATAGTTCCCACATATCTCGGAGTAAAAGTCCTCACCATGGCCTAAGAGCCCGCCACACTCCCCGCCATGACGTGTCCTGCTTGTCCCCCCAGTGCCCACGCAGCTCTGGCCACACTGTGTCTGATCCTTTGCTAACATGCTAGAAAGCTCTGCACTAGCGACTCCCTCTGCTCACGAGGCTCTTTCCTGGGTATGTTCCCTTAGTTGGCGTTCTTATTTTGAGACAATTATAGGCATAGGGGAGAAGTATGGAAATAGTACAGACTCCCGCATGCCTTTCATCCAAGTTCCCTTAGTAGTAACATCTGACAACCGTGGTAAATGATCACAGCAAAGAAACTGACGGGGGTGTAGTACTGTAACTAACTACAGACTTTATCTGGACTTCCCCAATTTATCCAGTAAGCCCCAGGACCCGATCCCGCTCACCAAATTGCATATGATCGTCATGTCTCCTTAGTCTCTAACCATCCGGGACAATTTCTTAGCCTGTTCATGTCTTTCAAGACCTTGAGACTCTGAAAGTGCCGCCCAGTTATTTTGTGAAGTGTCCTCCTCCAGTTCGCACACTAGATACTTTATATAATGTTCTTTCCAGTCCTCCCTCGGAAGATACCATCTCAGTGGTTTTTTTTTTTTTGCTGATTTCATTTAAAATTGTAGCTGTTTCTTCTCACTCCAGAGGCTTTCTAGTACACGCGCCTGCTTTACATTTCTCTACCTATAAAATCGGATATTCTTTATTTCTTAATTCCTTATTTTTTGCCAGTCTCCCTCCACTAGAATGTTGACTCTATAAAGGCAAAGACTTTTGTATGGTTTGTTCATTGCTGTTTACCTAACTTTTAAAAAATTCCTTAACACATAGGAGATGCTCAATAAGGGGTTGTTGAGTGAATGCAGTGACTGAACTGGATCTTCTGCTGTTCTCAGGAATCTAGAAAGCAAAGGAGCTTCCTACAAAGTTAGAAATTCTGTGCAACACGACGTGATTCTGAGGCTATTGGAATTATCCAAGAGGCTGGACTTAGCATCGTGAGACACCTCACACACAGTTATCAATTTTCCTTGTCAAGCCAGCAGGACTACTATTTAAAATGTATTTCTTGCTGAGCTGTGGAGGTCCAAATTCATAAGCTTGGATTTTTCTACTTCTTCTGCAAAACTTTGATAGAATTATGGAAATGAAAACCTCTTAGCCTTTATGACTACTGCAGTTTTCTCAGTCAAATGGATTTCAGAGGCAGAAACATTTCACCCTCACACGGGGCCTTTCAAAATCACTCCCTGACATTTTCACTCATGCAAGTGCAAATGCCTCCTGATTCATGGAGATTTAAAGCATGTTAAAAAACCCAGGCTGTTCTCAATTACGCCGGGTGCTATTTCATCAGCAAATTATGCAAGACTACTTTTTTACTCTTCTTTTTCATCCCACTTTTAGTCCTAAAAAATAGTATTAGAATTTCTGCCCAAAGTGGGAAAAGGTGAAAGAAAGTAGGCAGAATCTGAATATGGCAATTTTATGTCCTGTGACCATATGAGATGTCGAACAGGGAGGGGAGCTTCTGTGAGCTTGGAGCCTTGGGAATTAGCTCGAATTTCACAGCCCAAGACCAGTAAGAATGGGGAGCACAGTGAAAAGTGAAAATATGTTGGATAGAATGTCAGGTATTCTGAAAATCATCTGACTTCTTTGAGCCCTGGTTTCTTTATCTACACAATGAAGTATCACCCCACTTACTGACTCATTTATTCATTTAATAAGAATTTATCGAGCCCTTACTATGGCCCACCCCTAGATTCATGTACATGAAAAGCACAGTTCCTTCCCTTAAAGATTTCATAGGCGAGGAACATAGGTACTCAGAAAAAACAAGAATGTTATCATAGTCTGATGAAATTTATAAAATGGGAATGAATATACAGGGAGCCTGGGAGCGAGAAGAGGTGTATCTGGGGACAACAGGGAAGGCTTCTGAATGAACAATGGCTGAGCTGGGGCTTAAAAGACTAGGAGAATTAGGCAAGTGAAGGGAAGCAAAGCAGAGAATAGAGGAAGATGATCATTGGAGGGAACAGTAAAGTAATTTAAGAAACATTTGCTGGTACATACCATGTGCCAGGTACCAGGCTAAGAGCCAGTCACAGAACAGAAATGTCAACAGACGTGATTATTCTCCTCATTAAAGTGGCATTCTAATAGGGGAAAGGGACATTAAACAAGTAATTTCTGAATTAATTATTTTGCAATAATTGTTTTAGAGGCATGAAGGAGTGGAGTCTCCTAAAAGTGATTAGAAGGGGAGGGGCCAAACTGGGCGGCCAGGTAAGGATTTTTTTGGTGGGGTGGGGCATTTTATTTAAGGTTTTCAGGATGAATAAGTACAAATTAATAAGAAATTAATTTGAATATGGAATCAGGGGACAAAAGGGAGGAAAACATTTCAGGCATGAGAGTGACAAGGTCAGATTCACTTCTGAGGAGGATCGCTCTTGTCACCATGCGGAGAATGGACCGTGGCCGGTCAGAAGATGACCTGCAGCGTCCGGGAGGAGATGACAGTACTGTGAGCCAGACGACGCCAGAGGGATTCGTGAGATTCACGGACAGTGCAGTGAGAGAGGAGAGTTGGGGTCAACTCAGGGGGATTGACGCTGAGACAGGAGGAGTGCGTTTGGGCATTGCCAACACGATGCCTCAGCTGTGAGCGTGTTGAGAACAGGATGTGTGGGGCATCCAGACTGAAATCTGAGGAGGAGTTACCTCCGCAAGGCTGGCCTTCGGAGAAAAGGTCCAGAAGGAATTAGAAACCTGAGAGGCATCAGACTAGAGATGATTGATGTTTGTCATGAAGAGACTAGAGAGAGAGAAGAGCACAGAGCGTGATGGGACCTCGGCTTACACTTTAACACCCCCACATTTTAAAGGTGAGGAGCCCCAAAAGGAGTTAGAGTTCTGAAATGGAAGAGGAAAATCGTGAAACATTAGGGTGCTCTAAGAAAGAGGTTGTTCTCCCTGAAGACCGTGACGTACCTGCTGGAGAGCCAAGTGAATGTCATGATGAGATTCATGAATGAGACTCACGGTGTGGCCAGGGCAGAGGGAGTGCGGAAATAGACATAAAATAACACCTTGAAACTGATGGGAAAACAGGGCAGGGGAAGAAGATGGAAGGCTGTTAATTAAGGTAATGTATAACCCACTCTTTCCCTCATTCTCTTTGAACATGTATGACTATACGTATATGAACATACATGCATGTGTGTGTTTGTGTGGTATGTGGTAGATAGAAAGTAATCAACCGGTTTGAACACTGAATTATAAGTAAACAAAATAGCAAACAATTCTGTTGCTTTTAGATTTTTCTTTCTTGGAAGATTGGATACATTTCCCCTATATTTACACTCTTCACACTGCGCACTTATTGAGCGGGATTTGCATCAATGGAAAATTTGGCAGCTGATGAGAAACCACTTTCTCTTCTCTATCTTTTATCTTTTCTGTACCTGCAAATCCCAGACGAGAAGTTCTCTTCCAGCTGATTTTATGGTGCTTATGTGAATAAGATAATAACTGTTTAGAGTAGAGTTTGCCAAGGGGCGCTGGGCATCCTACAGCCCCAGGGACCAAGCTCATTATGACTTACCTGGAGTAACTACATCAGGTAGGTGTTTCGTATTTCCAAGTGAGAGGTTTATTTTCAGAATATGTCTTCTTTCAAATGAACCTCAGATATTGCCAAATGAAAACCCATCAACTTTTAAAACTTCTTTGTTATATAGTTTTTGATCACCGTTTTATGCCCTCACTCTTTTTAAAAAATCGAAGTATAATTTAAGTAAAGTAACCTGTACAGATCTAACATATACAGCCAATTAATTTTGCCAAATACATACAGCCATGTAACCCACATCCATATTGACATTTCCTCATTTTCCTCAGTCTTTCCTCAGAGACAACAAATCTTCTAATGGTATCATCAGATGTTAGTTTAGTCTGATCTGGGACTTCATACAAATAGAATTAGGAGCTCTTTACACCTCTTTATTTGAGCAAAATAATGCTTAGCATCATACTTCTGAGGATATTGTTATTGTGTGCATCAGTAGCCAGATAAATTTCCATTTTATTAATATGCCATAATTTAATCATTTTCCTGCTCATGAACATTTGGTTGTCTTCCAGTTTGTGGCTTTTATCAAGAAAGCTACTCTGAACTCTCATATCCCAGTCGCCGTGTGATTAGATGCTTTTAATCACTTTATAACACCTATCGGTGAAACTGATGAGTCATTGAGCAGATGTATATTTAACTTTAAAAGAAACTAACAGTTTTCCAGAGTAGATGTACCACTTTGTGTCCTCCCACCAGCAAACTGTAAGAGTTCTCATGTTTCATACTTCCGTCAATATTTCGTTTTGTCAGTCTTAGCGATTCGCTGTGTGAAGTGGCATCTCATGGTTTTAATCTGAATTCCATTGATGACTAATAGTGTAGACTCTTTTCATGTGCTCATTGGTTATTTGTGATATTTCTTTGTAAAGAGTGTATTCAAGACTATTCACCAAATGTTATCGAGTTACTTTATTTATATTCTTAAGTTTCTAAAAGTTCCTTATGTAATTTGGATACAAGTCCATTTTCAGAAATAAGTATTATGAATATTCTCTCTCAGTATGTGACTTGCCTAATCATTGTTTTTAATGGTGTCTTTGCTGAGCAGAAATCATGAAGATCAGAAGTCAGTGGAAAACATCTTTAAAGTTGCTTAAATAAAAGAGCAATCAACACAGAATTCTATATCCACAAATACATTCTCCAGGAATGAAGTCAAAAGCAAGGTATTCTCAGATGAAGAAAAATTAAGAGAAGTGTTGTCAACAGACCTACTCTACAGTAAACGCTAACGTAAGTTCTGCTTGCAAAAGGGAAAAGGTAAAGGGGAAAACTTGGAATTTTTTAAATATAGAAACAACGGCAATGATAAATATCTGAGAAATAAGTAAATATAAAAGATATTCTTCCTGTTAGATACTTAAAAGTATTTAGAATTGTTAAAAGCAAAAATTACAACATTGTCTTCAGGAATTTTCAACATGTCAATGTGCTAAATATGAAAACTAGAACATAAATTTCACTGGTGAGGTGGCTAAAGGGACCTTTAGGGATGCAAGATTTACACACTTAAATGAAGTAATACAATATTAACTCTAAAGAGAGTGTGAAAAGTTAGATATGTATAGTGACCCATAGAGAAATCACTACAGAGAATTAAAATTATGCAAAGACAAAAGCTAAGAAATACCACCAAGTGACAGCAGGATAGATTTTCTGTTCAAGTACATCTGAAGTACTATACAATATATATATAAGGCTACAAAAAAATTGATGAAAGAAATTGAAGACCAATAAATAGAAAGACATCTTGTGTTCATAAGTAGGAAAATTTCACGTTGTTAAGATGTTAGTACCACCCAAAATGATCTACAGACTCAGTGCAATCCCTACCAAAATTCCAGTAGCCATTTTACAGAAATGTACCAGCTGATTCTAAAAGTCGTAGTGAAGGGCCCTCAAATAACCAAAACAATGTGAAAAAAAGGAACAAAGTAGAAAGACTCACACTTTAAGGTTTCAAGACTTATTACAGTAACCAAGAAAGGCATTGGCCTAAGGAGAGCCACGTGAATCGGTGGAGTGTAACCGCAAGTCAAGAAATAGACTAACACGCTATGGTCGATCATTTTGCAACAAGGATGCCAAGACAATTCAAAAGTAAACATTTTCATTATAAATGAAGTGTTTTAAAAGAACATTTGTAGAACTAGCCATATTTTCTAATTCTTTCGTCAGCATTGCCAATTTGGGAGTGATATGGCTTTGTGTATTTATTTATATTGATAAGTTTATTGTTTGTAATAGTCTTTTAATTTTTTAATGGCTAAAGCATCTAAGTGTTATCCCTCAATCATTATGGGTATGGTTAATTGTGCTTGAGAAGTCTAGCTAAAGGTTTATCAGTTTTATTAATGTTTTTAAAAGTTGATTTTTAATCATAATCTCTGTTTTGTCAGTTTTCTATTGGTTTTGTTCTCATTCTGTTTTACTTTCTTCTTTTAATTTGTGTTCAATTTTCCCATCTCTTCCTATATTTTTAACATGCACGCTTCAGTCATTAATTTTATCTTTTTTTTTCTAACACTCACTGACTTAACTTCAATTCACAAGTTTTGATGTACCATGTTTTTAGTTTCATTATCTGATTCTTATATCCACACTTTCAGGGAAGTACAGTATTTCCTTCTTTACAGAGAAGGAAATCCAGTGTAAGAGAGTTAAAGGATTAGCCCAAGATCCCCTAACCAGGAATTCACAGACCCGAGAGTTGAATCCAGGCCTTTGGATATCAAACATCTTTTCCACTATGTCAAAGCCACCTCTCCACTGGGCAGAACCATTTCATAATTCTATCTGAGCCTGTCATTTTGACATTTACTTGTATCTACTTATAGTCATCATTAAAAGAAATTACGCAGCATTGCTGTCAAGGGATCTGCACCGTCTGTTCTGTCTGAATGTGGAACTATAGCTGTCTCTCTAGGGAGACATCAGAGGGAGGGCTGTGGCTTTTTCTGAATTGTTCTCATTCAGAAGGAGAACTTGTTTCACAGAAATCAAAATGTAAGAATGTAGACAACACACCTGGTAAAGTCACACCAAGTAGCATTAACATCTGAAATCAGACACGGAAAAAGGCAAAGGACATGCTTTTGATCATGCGACATGCATATAGATACAAAAATGATAAAGCCTTGTCAAAACCAGTTTTATATGTCCATTTGTCTACACATACTCTTCTTAAAAAATCAAATTTATTAATATCTTCCCAGTTGTGTGAGAAGGATTGATTTGACCACATATTTTGACTTCCAAATACTACTGTAGTGGTTTTTCCAAGACTTTTTAAAAAGAAATATGGGTTGAAATTTTTAAAGATTTTAAAATCTTAGATGAATAGGACCTCAAAATGTTAGAAAAGTCCATGTAGTCCTTCCCTTATTTCACAAATGAAGAAACTTTTTCCATGAGAGGAGGAAAAATGTATCCAAAGCAGCGATCTAACCTGGACTCCTGATTCCGAATAGTATTTGTGTGTTTGAATGTTCATTTTATTATTTAAAAAATGTGGATACATAGACATTGAAATACTTAAGTCTCAGAATTAGAGTTCTAAGAAGTTGGGAATATCCTTATAGAATCTTCTTGACTCTTTCGCTAAAGGGAATTAATTAGTTGAAAATAAGAGTAGCTTGAAAAGAACTAGTGTTTATAAGAATAAAGATTTGAAGGTTCCAGGCAATACCTGCCTTCACGTCTCCCTTCAAACTCCTTCAGCTGAGATTCCTCCTCGCCTCTTTAGTTATCAACTCTCTGAATAAATTGAAAGCAAAGTAAATACCAACAAAAAAGGAGATGAGCCGCATTAATTATGGCACGTTTTTTCAGATATTAAGATAACATTGAAGATGAATATACTATATGTTTGTATGTATTAGCCATATAGTAATACATGAAATTCTACCATGCAGTATGTACACCAATGTGTGTGTGTGTGTGTGTGTGTGTGTGTGTGTGTGTGAGAGAGAGAGAGAGAGAGATTATGGGTAATTTTTATTATTGTCCCTTTAATTATACTCTTTTATACGTTTTGGCAATGAAAACCAGTTTTGTATTAGGAAATAAAGCTTTTTTTTAATTTTTAAAAAACTTAACTTAAATAAGAAGGGCGTCAAGTCAGCCACAGCTCATAGTCAGGGGGCGGTTGGAGGGGAAAGTTGGTCACAGCTCGTACTGAGCTGGATTGGAACTTCAGGAGAGGACTTGAGGGGGCTCTGCAGATCAGCTCTGCCACCTCCGCCCTGACTCCAGGGTGGGCTTAGGGTCCTCTCACCCTTCCATCAGAGGCCAAATTACCCAGGGGTCCTCCATCATGTCCAAACAGAGGGGTTTGACATCTGAGTCTTACCTCAGCCACACTGCTGTTGGCAGGCTTCGATAACACGATAATGTGCTTCGAAGGCAACGCTCCCTTATGGGCTGAGTTGTCAAGTAGAATCTATTTACAGTCACCTGAGCATCTTTCCACCTCACTGCAGCCTTCCCCAAACAGCTTTCTCAGTCTTTTAAAGCTCACAGCGGACTGCTTCCTAAGAAAGGATTTTTTTCTTTTCTTTTTTTAACCCAGAGCCAACAGGAAACCTCTCATTTATGTTGCTCAAGGTACATTAAATGGGGCCACATATTCTTGGAGATGGCTTTCATTTTCTTCATTGGAAATATTTTAAAATTTTACTTGGAAAGATAAAATAATGAGATATGGCAAGACCTGAAAGAAGCAGATTAATTTCTAATTAATAAAGTAATAATAGCCGATCCAGTTTGACAGATACTCATGGAGGGCCTACTATGTGTAAGCACTGACAGGCTCTGTGGAGAACAGCGAAATATAGAATGTCTTTGTTTCCCAGAGCTCCCACCCCAAGCCCCTGCCGGTGCCCCATTTCTGTGGGCCTGGTGCTTATAGATGCATCATTTGCAGGTTGCCAGCTGTTACAATCAGCACTCTATTTGTGGCATCAGGAGTGAGTGATACCATCCCCACAGGCATAATGTGATGTCACCACAACTGATGACCAGCGCTTTTTGTAAAGGATGCAGGGAGGCCTGGAATGATGGGAGGTGAACAGAAATCGGCTTCGACTGAGAAAGAGATGGAGCCATACAATTCAAATCGCTTGAGGATAAAGTAACTATGTTTTACCCAAATCCTCTCAGATCCCTAATTTTCTTCAACTCTAGGCACTAACATACAACTCTTAGTAATTTGTCTTACCACTTTTCACTAAGGCACCTAAGACAAATTTAAATGAGGATTTAGTCAAATACAAACCCATCTACGTGCAATGATACCTACACGCTATGCTAAATAAAGACAATATAGAGCATTTAGAAATGCAAAGAAGGGGGGATTTCTGCAGTAAAATATATTTCTATGTCTATATTTAAAATAAATAATCTTACATTAAGATAACATATAAGTAAACATAACTAAAAAAATAGCAAGTAAAAATGGGCGAAATATCACTAGTACAACTGATGTGATTTGGGGAACATTCTTCCAGACATCTTTCTGTTCATATAGATCATATCTAGATTTTATAGATTATGTATAGGTCATATGTAAAAATTTATAGACATAATTCACATTTGATGTAGAAAGACAATGATTTTCTGTAAGTGCACATAAACACATTTTACACTTACAAGATTTTTGTGCACTTATATTCTAGCGTGCGTGATGCTAGAATCAACAACCATGGATGGACTTTCTCCCCCGCCTCCTCTAGGAAGGGCTCTTGTGGTGCACCTTGAAATCCCTTGCACAGCCTTCCTGTGATGGGCGAAGTGGCCCAGAATCACTGAGGAAATGCTCTCTGAGAAGAACTGGTGAGTGATGACGGCTAATGCCATCTGATAATTTTTGTCTTGAGAATTTAGAGGATGTCCCGCATCCCCCAGGGGGTTCCTGTGATGAGAGAGGGTGCCGTTTCCACCTTTCTGGTGGTGGGCTGGGCAGGATGGCAGCTGACAGGCCAACAGCTTCTCTCGACCTGTGTGTGGCTCTCCTCAGTATCTCCATCGCGAGGGGGTCTTCTATGGTGTACCTCCCCCCAGGGAGTGAAAGCCAACCCCCACCCCTTCTCACACACCTCCATGTCTGGGCCACACATGCTCAAAACTTTCCTGGGTTGTCTACAGGGATCAAAGAGCCTTTTGAAAGAGATTCTGGATTTTCTGCAATTAAGGTATGTGGGAACTTCAGCAATGAGTTCAATAAAATAAAAGAAATGTGGCTATATTGGTTCCCCAAATTGGTGAAGTACTACATACTTGGATAGAAGCGGGAGGGCTGACATATAGACAGAGATATAAACACAGAAATGGATAGACAGATACACAAGGCTGAGCTATGTAGAAATACTAACTGAAAACCAGTGTCTATCCCACCCATGGCAGGAGAGATGGTGATTTGTTCACAAACACACAGAGAGGGTGTGTGCTATTAGTGGCATCTTTTTTTTGTTTATAACTTCCAAAGGCTTCCCCATAACGCACAGGGTCTCCTGAAAGCAGCAGGCCAGGTAAGCGAGGTAAGCGGTGAGGCTACGTGGAAAGAGCACGGGCTGGAAGTCCAAAACCAGTTCCCGTGCTGCATCCGCCACTAGCAGGCTGGGATCTTAGGAAGGTAACTGCTCAGGATACAAAGGTCCTCCTGTATAGAGGGAGCTGGTTGAAAGAGATCTGAGACTGCAAATAATATACATCCTATTTATTAACTCTGATTTGTCATGGTTTCATGAATCTCTGTTCAAAATAATTCTGAGGTGGCATCAAGACTCAGTGGGAAAAAGCACAGCAGGATCTCGTGGAGGCATGTGTGTCAGCCTTTGTCAAGTCTTCATTTAGTGAGTCTGTGGATCCTAAGAGGGGCACTCAGTGGTATATTGGAATTTGGTGTCTGTGTCTCACGTCCAAGGGGAAATGGCAGATGGCTACAGGTTAATACTGGGAGTAATGTGTTGAGTAGGAGCTTTCAAGTTTCAGACCCCTGTTCTGCTACTACCCTTATTTTTGAGATTTGGGGCAAATAGTTCTCCATTTGCATCACTTACCTCATCTTCAAATGTCAAAATAATATCTACCTCATAGGTTCTTTCTGCAATGCAATGAAACAGTGCATATAAAAAGTTTCGCACTAACCTGCCACATGGTAAATAGTGCACATGTGGCAATAATTGTGGCTACTACTGGGGAGGAGAATGTCAAGGTGGTAGTGTGAGATGGGTGAGCGAGCTCTTGAGGAAGGTCCTCCAAAGTACGGCCTGTGGGTGCAGGACTGAGAAACGGGGCAGTATCTGTAAATAACATGAAGTGCCTAACATCTTACCAAATTCCTCATTAATTAAAATTTCTAGTTTTAGCCTGTTTTTGCCCTCTCATATGCCCTAATTTCCTTTCCTGTAATATGAGGAAAACAAGAGTTATAGCTTCCTTTAGTTGATCAGTTACTATATGGCAGGCAATGTGCTAGGATCTTTGCATTCCTTCTTGTACACCATCCTGAGAAGAGCCCAAGAAGTCAGATTTATTAGCCACGATAAAATAGAGGCTTATGTACTCAGGCTCATGCAGGTAGAAGGTAGTAAAGCTGAGATTGGAACCACAGCCCACCAACTCCAAATATCTGATCTTAAATACCCACCACATTCCTTATCTCAGAGCCTGATGATAAGGATTAAATGGAGGAAAATACTCAGTGCCTGATACACATTTGCCTATTATACCTCCTAATCTCTGGCTAATAGCATAACTTTCAAACCACGTCCAAGATACCAAGATACCTTCTGGTCTTAAGGGTGAGACCCCAGCCGTCAAACCCTGATGCTTCATTAGGCTGTTTCATTTTGAACTTACATTTTTAGATCCAACCAGAAGCTAAGTTTCATGAAACATGTTAGTCATTTTTCACCTCCATGCTGTCCTCTTCAAGTGTTTTTGAAATTGTGTAGGCTTCCAGGGACCAGAGTAGCATATGGTTGCATCTATTGAGCTGCCTCTGAAGGAGGTGAAGAGGTCTCTTGAAAGACAATACCCCCGAGGTACCTAATAGAGGTTTGACGTTGCACAAATTCCACCCTCAAATTACATGTTTCATTTCATTCCCTGCTGAAATAAAGTCTGACAAAGGAACACCTGCTATCACTTTAGTACCTACAGGCAACACACACACACACACACACACACACACACACACACACACACAGCACAAGCATGCCTTACCCTGCAATTAAAATGTCAATATCCCCTTTAGTCTTTCAGTAGGTTTTTTTCCTTGGTTGGCTGGTTGATTGGTTTTTCTTCTTCATAGGTCAATTAAATCAGTTTTTTCTCTTAGTGGTTTGCGAAATGAAAAACATTACTGCTTTACATGTTGTATTTTGTTGAATCAATCAGTTCTCACAGGCAATGCATGAGAATTCCAACTTTGTAACGGAAACAGCTGTCATTTGTAGACAATGTACTACGTGCCAGGCAATCAAGTGTTTTATGTGACACAACCGTATGAGAAAGGTACTATTCTCATCTTATCTTACCAAAGAAGAAAATGAGGCTTAGAGATATTAAATCACTCCCTAAAAGCACACAGCCAATAAGGGGCGGGGTCTGTCTGTCCCTACAGTCTGAGAATTTGACTATGGTATATATTTTCTCTTTCACCTTTCCGTTTTTATTTTTGAGTCTGCATAAAGTAGACATCTAAAATAAGGGCTTATATTTGTTGAATGTTTATTATGTGATGTGCAATATTCTACATCATTTACATTATAATTCCTCTCACTCTCACCACAACCCTATGTATTATATGTCGTTTGTCCCCATTTTATAGATGAGGCTACTGAGACATGGAGAAACATAACAACATGTCCAAGATTATACAGTTGGGTTAGTCAGAGAGTCCAGATTTATAGCAAGTCAATGTAACTGCAAAGCCTCTGCGTTTATCCGCCCAGTACACCACCTGGAGTGTGAATGAGACACCTTTACTCCTTCTGTTTGAAACTGCTTAACATACACACTTGTATCTTTCCATTCCCGACGAGTGTGTACTCTTCCAACACATTCTATGTTGCAGACTTACTAATAAGAAAGGGAGTTTTTCTTTCCTCAGCATATATACTCTGGAGATATATATATATTTCTGTGAGTTTATGCCAAGCACACAGGGAGAGAAAACATCATTTATTTATCTCAGGAGAGATTGAGAAACCCCAGGCCTGACCAGCCTCCAAATACCCTCAAAAGGCAAGTTCAAAAGGAAAACTGTGGTGCTGTTCTGACTGCCTCTCCACGCCCAGGGCATCTCCTTTGCACCCTCTGTGGCTCTGGCCCCGAGCGTTGGCCAGCTCCATGCTTTTTGCAGACCCTAGCTGCATCGCAGTGCACAACTGCAGTTCCTTGTTTTATCCAGAAAGAAGTGTGCACTCGCTACTCTTTCTTCCATGTCTTTTTCCATTAAGTTTTCACATCACCTACTGGTTTGCTGGCTCCCTAATATGTTTCGAATGAGGTGAGACACATTTGGAAAAGGCCAGGAAGACTAACCAGAGCTCATAGGACAACCACGGCCCCCTGCCACCACCTGAGATTCTCCTGGGGTCTATGTCCTTCGAGTCCTACCCCCCACAACTCCTTGTCATCTTGCCTAAGTTCTCCGAACAGCTTTCTCTTTACCTATCACAAGAATAACTAAAGGCACTTTCTTTAACTGGGTACTGGAAGGATTGGGATATTTTTTTCCCCAGGGTTAAGAGCATTTTAGGATTCAGTGACAGGAATGTGGATATGGAATCAGATCCTCTCATTTCTAGGGTCACTGTCTAGTCATAGATTTGGCTTTTTTCCCCCCCTAAAATTGGAGATGAGAACACCAGTTAAACATGCTTTATGGAGTTTTTGGGTAATTACCTTCAGTTATGTGTGAGAAAGGATTGTGGAATTGTGAGGGGCTCTACAAAGGGACTCCCCTCTGGGTGAGCTCCGCCCTCTTTAGTGGGGACACAGATCAGGGGGAGGTGCAGTCCGTGGGCTGCACCCCACTAACAACACAAGGCCCTGGACAGCAGCCTTCGCTGAGTAGTCGTTTCCCGAGCACTTGGTGTGCAGCAGCCACCTTACTGGGTGCTGGAAGGACAGATGGGAATAAGGCACAGTAAAGCACTTAAAGCATGCTCACGGAAACCTGTTGCATGCTGCGCATGGTGATAAATCTTGGGCACACAGCTGTGAGAGGCTATGTAGTGTAGCCCTGCGGAAATAAACAGACAGGAAATGCAAACAAAGTGGGAAAGAATAGAGGATTCTAGGGCAACACATGGAAGGGATATTTGATTCAGGCTAGTGGCATAAGGGATGGTTTCTCAAAGGAGGTGCCATGTACAGTGATATTCAAAGAAAGTTATACTTATTTCCTAGCACCGTGGTAACAAAATCCCACAAACTGGGTAAATTAAAACAACAAAAATGTAATCTCTCAGACAGGAGGCTAAAAATCTGAAAGCAAGGTGTCCACAGGGCTGGTTTCTTCTGGAGCTTCTGAGGTGAAAGTGTCCTGTGCCCCTCTCCTAGCCTCCGGGGTCTGTGGGGTCCTTGGTGTTTCCTGGCTTGTAAGGATGTCACTCCAGGCTCCACCTGCACGTCGCCTCCTTCTTTGTGTCCCTGTGCGTCTCTTTCTGCCTCTTGTAAGATCACTCTCATCGATGCCCTGCCCGTCCTTATCCAATATAGTCTCATCTCAATTCTTATCTTAATTACTTCTGCAAAGACCTCATATACAAATAAGGCTTTCCTCTGAAAGGGTATGTGTGTGTGTGGTGGGGGG